GTATAGGGCAAGTTTGTTTCAATTGTTTATGTATGACTTTGTATTTAATAATATAGACTTTGTTCTTGATGTTCAAGTCTTTCCTATGCATTGTTTGTGAAAGTTTTTTAGTTTTAATAAATTAACTTTTGTAGAAGTTCATGATAAAAAGGAAAGCAAATTATTTTCATTAGCGTCCCGTGTACGAATTAAATTTGTTTCATTTCAAAGTGCGAGAAAGAAGTTGAAGCTCGAGTTGAGAAGTTTATAAATATCGGTGAAAACAGTTAATTTCAATTCACATTTAAAATAAAATAAAGCCCATAGAAACCAAAATATTATACCAACTTTATATATTTTAGAAATTGATATAGTTCTGTATTTAAAAGTGTTCAAATTTCATCTATTTTTTCCCGGTTTGTACAAAAAATTAAAAAACAATTATCGTGTTGCCATGACTAACATGACGTGAAACGCGAGCCTGCGTTCAGTGTTGGCGTAATTACGAATACTTCATGTTGAAACAATGTTTGGAAAATATAGGCGAGAGGTTGTTGCATGCATGTATTTCTAGTTGTCTTTTACATACTTTGAGAATAGCAACGAATATGAAGATCTCTTCCGTCTTGACATTTGCTAACATTCTTTTCGAGAAGATGAATATTTTCGATTTGAATTTCAATTCCATCTGTATAACCCAAACCTTGACAATATTCTGTAACACTCTTAGATTTTCGCTGTCTATCTTGACAAACTGGCGACCATTTGCCATTAGAATAATGCTCTATTCGTCCTTCATCAGTTGTTCGACCACTTCTGAGGCGAAGTTCTAAAAGATAATTGATAATGTAAACCATCGTTGATTGGCCGTTGCAAGGAATCGAAAATATTTCAATATTTCTTCGAAATATTGCACAAGTACTTTGGTGGGATTTCAATCCCAATTTTCGAAAATGAAGTATTATTATAAAAAAATAAAAAAGAACTAACTTACAGTATTAAGAAAGTTCTGGTGCCAAGTGGTGCCTATAGTATTGAATTACCTGGAATACATTCCAAAACAACTTTCCAGTTTGACACAGTTTCATTTTTTCGTTCAAGCCAAGTACCTCGCGGACAATCCAATAATCTCTTCTCGTCTCCTTTACAACGCACGTCCCTTAGCCACATAATCCTATCTTCACTTGATATATCCGTTTTAAGTAGTTGAAAACGTTTTACACCCGGCTTGTTCAATTCACGACAGATCACTTGAGCATTTTCCATTGTCCAGTTTTCGCCAGCAACATGCCCCCAAATTCCCTCGTGCATTATCTGTATTTCACTTAAGAACTTTACTACAGAATATCCCCTGAAAGCTCGAGTGGGAAGTTGAATGAGGCGAATATCTGAAATTAAATATACTTTTGTATAATATTTTCTTTGAAAATGAAGAGGTATCGTAATAATATCCCAAACTCGAATTTTGAGTTTATATTGTAGTACAGTTAGATCTGTTTTTTATACTTTTTGCGAGGGAATAATTGAATTTATAAATTTAAGCGTTTTATGTACCTCTTTACTACTTGGGGCAAATAAGGCACGCAACAACAAGGAGTGGAAAAAGAAATTCTCTTTGTCGGTCTAAACGTATATCGACATTGTAATTAGTTATAAGGACGAAAATGCAAGTTTCTTTAATTTGTAATTAATAATACATTCCAATTTCCAGTGAAAAATTATCCAAAAACCAATGACAGTAGTGACAATAAGTAATGAGGGTCAGATAGATATGGATGGGGTTTAACGATCCAAAATGAAAATTTCATTTAGACGTGGCTCTTTACACATTTCGCCAATGTTAGAGTTCGAAGTTCTAACAAAGTCACTTATTTATAATGTCCTTACATTACCACAATAACGTTTCAATATAATGTAGGTTTTTGTTTCATTATTACTGTATAATGAAGGCCACCCACTTAATTTTATATCATCAAACTAGATTTAAATAAAAGAAATAGTGCTATACCTCCTTCATTGCCCTCGCATCTTACTTCGACAGCTCCATCATTACAGAACTCTTCATTATCCTCTTCATGAATACATTTAGAAAGTTTGTTTTCTCCTCCAGTACATTTAATTCTCACTCTTAAGTATGGATAGGTTGTATTTGGATGGTTTCTTATCAATCCATTAGAATGCACAGCTTTCAAGTACCCAAGTTCATGACAAACGACATTAGCTTCGGTTAATGTCCAATGTTTTCTACACATCTTTCTCCAGGAATTGTTACGATATACTTCTAATTCGCCTTCATTAGTATGTAAAGAACCAATCAGTCGAATATCTAATTTAAAAAATGAGAAGTCATGTTTTGTATCATTTTTAAATTCGTTTTCCCGTTTTTCCCACAACCAGGAGCGAGGAATATTAATGAATAACTATAATTGAATAGAGGAATTATAAGATTGCATGGTCAATCGTAAACTTACAGTAACCTTTAATATTTAACAAACATGTTGCAATTAAAATCTCAACTTACTGAATTTGCAGATCACACCCCCATCATAATCATGATTTACGTGATTGAAATTATCTATAATCCATTTGCAGTCATGTAACCGACTTTCAGTTCCATTACACTTGATATTTTTTGTCCAAACTGCTCCCCTTCCCACATTCGGTACTTCATGTACGTCCAATGCTCTGACAGCATCGCGGTAGCCAAGCTGTCGACACACAACTCTCGCTTCAGTGAAAGAGAGTTCATTCTTATAGGCATTCACAGTACCCCAAACCCCTTTATACAGGACCTCGATTCTACCGGCATGAGGACGGTCAAATCCTTTCAGTCGTATTGCTAAAAGGAAGAGAAAAAAACATATGAGTGGGGAAAACTGTTTAGTTTGAAGCAATTCAAGTAAAGTCGACGATTTAATAATTTGAGGTGCAACGCCGTTAACTCCGTTCGTAGCCTGTCCATGCCTCACAAGCATACAACAGAGAAGGTTACTCAACAGCCTTGAAGACTTTCAGTTTTGTCATACACCGGATACCACCCTTTCCTAAACTCTTTACGAAGTCGTCGGGAAGTTGGAGGTAGAGTTGCTATCTTCCTGAAGCGCTCTATGGACTTAACACTTCTCCTTGAGCAGTTTATGAATCTCCTCGTCATTATCGCCGAACCAGTCCTGGTGTTTATGCGTGTTCAGGCCAAGGTACAGTAAGTGCTTTTATTATATGGCAAGTATTTGTTTTGATGAATCGTGCAATTTGATTGGCTGCTGACGAGGCAGGATTTTCCCGTATTGCCCACGGGCAATACGCAATTTTTATTGCCCTGCGACGAGAGCCGAGTTTAAACGGCAAAAAAGTCTAAAAGTCTTTCAAAACTATTCAACGAAGAAAAATAAACCTAAAATAAAAAGAGGAGCAACTGCTGTGGTTGAAGAACTTTCTTCATGCGTTTTTGTTAGCGAAAGTCAAAATTACAAGGTAAATTTTACAATGTTTATAACTATAAAAGCAGTCAGGAATAGTTGTGTTTTGACAATGCGAAGAGCTGCAAATTTTATTTGCAGATAGCCAGGAGGAATTTGACATCATCCTAAATAAAAAATACAACTAAAACAGTCACAGATTTATAATTTTTCCCTGAAAATTTCTGTTTTGTTAGATAAGAAGAGACATAATATGAGATGAAGCAAACTAAAAACGTACTTGTTTTTGTAATTTTATTGAATTTTATTGTTCATATTTGTTGTCTTTGATTAAATGACGAAATTACTCTTATTTTTCTTGAAATACTATCCAAACTGTGTTAGTATTCTATATAAAAAGTACTGTAGAGCAGTTTTACTAACCAAAGAACATTTTTTACAATTGTTTTCTTTTGCAAATGTTTCGGACTTTGTACTTTGCCCTCGCGTGACCTTTTCTTCTCCATTTTTTACAAACGTACAATGCCATATAATAAAAAACCTACTGACCTCAATCGTTCGGGCTGTACGGGAAACTATCCAACCTCGGTCTTGCTGTATTGAACTCGCTATCGCTCGGTCAATACAGCAAGACCTCGGTTGGATATTTTTCCCGTACTGCCCTCACTCTCGGTCAGTAAGTTATTCGCAGTGTCGTATACCGTTTATTTCAAAGCTTCCCAGTTCTCTTCTTCGCTGCTTCCTCCTAGATAAAGTTGTCTTAGCTTGCTGCCCAGGTTCTTACTATACTGTTCCACCTTGTTCATATTAATCCCCGAGCCGGCGGCGCGAAGCGCCGTGCGAGGGTACTAATTCCCCCCAGCTATTTACACCCGGGGAAACGAAAGCATTAGCGAAGTCTAAAGTTCATCAATCATCGCGGGCGCTGACCAACGAACGACGATCTTGAGTGGGTGGTCATCCTCACTTATCTCAAAAATATGGCAAGCAAGATTTCAATTTTAAAAGACATATATTTGCAAAAACGTTTCATATACAACAAGCTTGAAGCAATTTTGTTTGAAGAAATGAGAAGAATTGGTTTACTACGGCAAATCGTGAAATATACGGCAAGTTTGCTTTGAATATTTTTAAAATGTTTACGAATTTTGTTGCTTTAACTTTTTACGTATTAAATAAAAAACATGAACTATAGAAGCTCTAAGTTTTATAAATTACCGTTTAATTTGAGAAAAAATCTTAAAATGTAAAGGCGGAACAAATTGATTTGAAAACTGAACTGAAATTACCTAACAATTATATTTTATTTGTATTAAACTTATCATGTTTTGTTAATATAAGTAAAAACAGTTTATCGGCAAAATGTAGGTTTACTTGAATGAACACTCCAAAACATTTTACGAAGCATTTCAAGTTAAATTTTACATTAAATCAAAGCTCACAAAATGCAAAATAATATACCTACAGTATCTATTTCGGAAATTTATTGTTGTATAGTTAAAAGTACGAATCTGTCAACTATTTTTCAGTTTTGTACAAAATATATGAAAATAAAAATTTAAGAATATCGTGTTGTCATGGCAACACTTGAGCGCGAGCCTGCGTTCAGTGCTGGTCATTTCTGAATACTTCATGTTTAATGTAAGGAAATATTGGCGAGGGGTTACTGCATGCATGTATTTCTAGTTCGTTTAATTGGATGTCCTCTTTCATTGTGAGCGAGGGCGTGCGTGTTGATTTTTGTGAGAATAAGTCGGTGGTCAGTCCAACATTCTCAGCCGCACATTGCCTTCACCATTTTAATCTATTGCATGTCCTTCTCCCGACGATAACGTCAATCAGATTTCTATACGTGATGCATCCAAGACGTATTTTGCAATTTTGCAAGCTGTAAACTGTGCTGGTAGACCGTTACTGTTGCAGCAATAGTCTACGTTACTGTTGCAGCAAGTCTAGCAATATCGAAACATCCTTCTCAAGTCCGCCTATTCTGACGTTGAAATCCCTGAGAATAATGAGTTCAATTGTCCTCGTTTGGTACACTTTCGATTATGTTCTCTAATCTGATCCTCAAAGATTTTGTTTTTGATCTCATCTGTGTTCATCGTTGCGGGAGCATATGCACATCAGATGGTGGTGTGGTGTATTATACAATATCTTAATTATAATCAATGAGTATCTTTGGGTTTACGATGCAAATATTTGGATATCTTTTTTAACACAGAGTTTATTTTAAGAAAGGTTTAGAACTGCACATATTAGGGATGTTACGAAGCATCACGTGTTTGATTGGGGGTCAAAGAATTTTTATCTACAGTATATTTAACGTTGTAAATTTATAGTTAACGTTGCAAATTATGATAGACTGTTACATGTAATTAGTATATAGGTGGCAGAATAAAGGTGTGGTTGGGTGGGGCCAGACAAACTCGATTCCGGGTGGGGAAGACACAGGTAGGGGGTGTCCCCCCAAAATTTTGAATTTAGAGGCTCGTAAGTTCTGGCAAAGATTTGTTTCACCCAACCACCCACAAAAACTGCTCCAAAACATGTAACTGGAAATCATGAATACTCAATATATAATAATCTTAGGCAGCAAAAAATATTAGGTTCTCCCACTCCAATCTCTTTTGTTCCCCAGCACGTAAGTGTTTTGTGAGGAACATATGACGGTCTGATGGTCCTCTCCCAGAAAAAATTTAGATTTTTGATGCTCAATGACAACAGCATTTCTGGCATCTGGAGCATCCACAAGGAAAACGAGTTAATGAGAAGACTGTTTTGAGGTTATATTTTTGTTAATTTGGTGACTGCACATTTAAGTTTTAAGAACTGCACAAATGGGTTTAGAACTGCACATTTTGTGTAGAACTGCACGTTAAAATAAACCCTGCCCATACACAAAAATGACAGAAACTTACTTTTTCCTTTACATTGCACATGTGGTAGACGTGTGCATTTAGAATTTGGACGATACTTGACATGACATTTCCTTAAGCTTTCTTCCTTCCCAGCACACTCGATATCATTTCGCCAAATCTTGGTGATGTTACTAACAGAAGTAAAATAATGATCCACTTCGGATTTTCTACTATAACCCAGCGCCCAACATGTCACACGCGTATTGCCCATGTTCCACGAATCTCCGCAAACATGATACCATGTTTTACTACGATAGACCTGAACCTTTCCCTGGTGTGTACTCTCAAGTCGTATATCTAAAGAGAAATGTGAATGTGAGATGTGAATATATAAGAAGCGTGACCGCTTGGGTTAAAAAATTATATGTACTTTGCTTCTCCCCCCCCCCCCAGCAATTTTAAGCTTTCAAACTTAAAGTTTTCTGCCATGGTTCCAGGTTGCAAGCATTTCGTATTGTACGGATTATACAAAGGAATATTAGGAAAATAAAGCAAAGGCCTAAAGTGTCTTGTTATTTTATTAGCTTTATTGGACACAAAATTACAGATCACAAGGTGTATACAAACCTAATGCAAACGGCAAATCGAGACCCACGCAAATCGAGACCCCCTAAAGGTTCACTTGAGTAATGGGGGAAAAGGGCAAACCATATTTTCCGAAAAAAATACAAAAATACAAGCACGATCGAAAATTGCACAGAATTAGAAAGTGGCCATATCGCTGAGCATTTAAATATTCATTGGTATCGTGGTCAGTAAATCATTTTTGTGCGCTTTTTGTTTTGCCTTGCCTTGATTTATTATAACAAATTGATGTTCAAATTTTAAACATGCTTAACTTTTGTGCATGGAGTTGGTTAAAATTCATCGATATGTCAAAAACTTGATCATGAAATGATTATATGTGCATGAAATAATTTAGTAGATCGCCCCAAAGATATGTAGGATTACCGCGGTTTCTGGTTATGGAGTGCTTATAACTATTACTCGATCAGACGCTATAGTGTGTTAATTATTGTGTAGATTCGGTTAAATTAAACTCAGCTATGAAAGAAGCAAGTATAACCATGTGTTAAAACATTTGGCCGTTAGAGAAAAACCGTGTGTAATCGGGATTATTAAAATTTAGTGATAACAAGCAGCTAGTATAGCTATACAGGACATCTCCTCATGGTCTTATATTCAAGCTATATACAGAACAATAAGAACTGTATGTTTTCCGTTGACCTTATTACCTTGTTCACAGGCGACAGCTACCTGCGATATACTGGGAAGATCGTGTCGTTCTTCTGTTTTTTTTGGACAACACACTAACTTATTTTTTTTATTCTGACATCCAAAGTTATCGTAGCCATCATAATCACGATATTCGAGGCGACGTAAATTCTTTATTAGTCCTGGGAATCCGAGTGTGGTACAGGCCAAATGTCCTAACTTTTCGTCCCAATACTTCACGCGAAGAACTTCCCACTTTCCTTTGTATTTTATCGCTACTTTACCAGAATTAGCATATTGTGATTGAACGAGTCGGATTGCTGCGAATATTAGAGCGAGGTAAAATTTAGTTAATTTCATTCTTGCAGTATTAGCCTGCGAACAGGCTCTCAAGGTGAATTGAGAGCCTGCACTGATGGCATACAATTTTGAATATCTGCGACTCGAAGCGGGACGCGAAATTCTCATTGGTCAGATGCTATAATTTATATGTTTCCGCTGAGCTTTATATATGTCAACTGCTGAAGCACTATGCATAAAAAACACATTAACTGATCAAATTGGTCTTGGCCATCTTATCTCAAAGCACGAAAATCGAAATGTTCTGTTTTGAGAAAACAGTATTTAAAACATTTAAACTTTTGCTTGAATATCTTATATTTCGAAAAACAGTATATAAACTGTACGGTCTAAATTTAGTTTGCACGGTCTAAATTTAGTTTGCACGAAAGTTGTAAACAACACAATATAAGGATAGACATTCCATATTTGGAAGAACGAACGTTACGGGGCAGATATTCAAAATTGTATATCATCAGTGCAGGCTCTCAATTCACCTTGAGAGCCTGCTCGCAGGCTATTGCAGTATACTAAGCATTCGTCAACGACAAAAATCTAAAAACACCATGTTTATTAATTCGCAAAGCTTCTGTTACTATAATAATCTGCACTAAAACTGTGGCAATTGATACACCAGGCGGAAATCTTAGTTCAAAGATAAAGAGCAGAGCCCAGCAAATAACTTTGAAGCCAAACATAATAAAAGTAAAAAATTTATTAGCTAACATTTCGCTGTTTACAGTACAACATCTTCAGAGCAATCTAAATGAATTTACAGGGTATGGTATATATATTTGCAAAACAGTGGTTTAATATTACAAAAACGGTTACATAGTTTGAAAGAACAAATGAATAGAAAGAAAGGAAAACAACTTATCAGAAACTAGTTAATAAGTAAAGATTAATGTTAAGTGCATGGTTAGTATATTAGTTAATTAAGGTTAATATTACATAACTAAAATAGCTCAAGAGGGGTAGATCTAATATTAGCATTAAGGACAGGGTTAAGTTGAGAAATTAATAGGCTTTCACAGATAAGAAGATCCCACTCAGAAGTGCCTGATGATAGGATTTTGAAATCAGAAGCGGAGACTGGGTGTTTGTGCATGTGTTTGAGAGCGAGTATACTAGACATGGTTGAGATAGAGCGTTCTTTTCCAGTCAAAGGCGAGACTCCCATATGCTCTGAGATACTGTGTGATAGTGTCGGCGTGTGGCCAACATACAATGCGCTACAGCATTGACATGTGTGATCTCAGGGCAATGGGAATCCTGTCTTTAAATGGAAAGAGACTGGAACTAAGGCGACAAGAGGGACGGAAAACAACATGTATGGAAAAATGTGGATAAGCAGAAGTAGGAACTTTATGTCATATGTAGACCATGATGTCCAGTAAAAGGAAGGCAAAAGTAAACAATTTTCTTGGAACATGTATGGACCCTGCCCTTGGTGTTATAAATCCTGTCAAGAAATGTCTTAATGCAACTATTTATAAGTGCTTTAGGAGAACCATTGGAAGAAAAGGTTTTCTTAAAATTTTCCATTCCAGACTGGAAAGATATGTAAGAAGAACAAATATTGAAATATCGAGATATAAGAGAGAAGAGGAGACCTTTTTTGCACATCATTGGAATAAAGCTATCAAAGTTTGTGAATAAGCCAGTTGATGTTCATTTGTGATGGACAGAGGTCGTGAATGAGCCGTTTGAACGCATTACGTTAACATCAAGAAAAGGGAGTGAAGAATTGTTTTCAAGCTCATGTGTGAATTGAATATTCGAATGTTTGGAATTGCGATAAGAAAGGAAGGGAAGCACATGATCACGGGATTGAAATATCAGAAAACAATCATCAACATAACAACGATAAAACAAAGATTTAAAGTTAGAAAGGCAGTCAGCTAACCAAGATTTTTCATGGAATGATAGAAAGATGTTAGCAAACAGTGGTCCAAGTGATGAACCCATTGCAACACCATCAACCTGCTTATAAAGAACACTATCAAATAGAAATTGACAATTCTTTACAGATAAGTTAGGAAGTCGAGTGAATTGATCAACTGTGAAACCGTGAGGTATTGTGAAAACAAATCATAATTGTTAATAAATGTTTCCACAATACCATGCACACGGTTTCACAGTTGACCAATTCACTCGACTTCTTAATTTATCTGTAAACGATTGTCATTTTCTATTTGATAGTGTTCTTTATAACCAGGTTGATGGTGTTGCAATGGATTCACCACTTGGACCACTGTTCGTTAACATCTTTCTATCATTCCATGAAAAATCTTGGTTAGCTGACTGCCCTTCTAACTTTAAACCTTTGTTTTATCGTCATTGTTGATGATCAATCCCATGATCCATGATTGTTTTCTGATCATTCAATCCCGTGGTCGTGTGCTTTCCTTCCTCTCTTGTTGCAATTCCAAACATTCGAATATTTAATTCACACATGAGCTTGAAAACAATTCTTCACTCTTTTTTTTGATGTTAACGTAATGCGTTCAAACGGCTCATTCACGACATCTGTCCATCACAAATGCACTTCAACTGGCTTATTCGCAAACTTTGATAGCTTTAATCCAATGATGTACAAAAAATTTCTCCTTTTCTCTCTTATATCTCGATATTTCAATATTTGTTCTTCTTACATATCTTCCAGTCTGAAATGGAAAATTTTTAGAAACCTTTTTCTTCCAATGGTTATCCTAAAGCACTTATAGCCTGAACGGTTAAGGTCGGTAAGTTTTTTATTATATGGCATTGTAGCTACGTTTGTAAAAATAGGTACGCAAAGCGTACTTGTATCTGCGAAAAAACTTGATTCACATTTTGTATTTCCTTGAAAGGAACTGGATAATGAAGATGACATGGGACAATTGAAATATTTCATAGCTTAAAACACTGACATATATTGGAAACTGTAGGGAGCCTCCTTAAGGTACATTGAAGTACACACGTTATATATAAATTATATATAACGTATGCACTTCAATGATATCAATCTAGATCTGTATCCTTGCATGAATTAAAAGTTATAACTATATTTTCTGCATGCAGGTATATTTCCTATATCAACGACTGGAAATGAACGTGCATGGGATATTTCTACAGTATGTTCGTTTGCTACAGTATAATTCATCAACAACAAGGGACCCATATACGAAGAGAATCGGGTATAACACGAGTAAGAATAGAGGTTGGTACTTACGTTGTGGATCACAGGTCTGAGCTGGTGGATAACGTTCTAAACAAATATATATATAATATATATATAATTTTTCGTTTTACCTCAAAAATCCACAACAGTCTGTTTCATCCGTATAGGCAACGCAACATAATTTGGTTTAACCCACCATTTAGTAAGAGTGTTAACACGAACATAGGACGGGAATTCTTAAGTTTAATTGACAAACACTTCCCGCTACAGCACAAACTACACAAGATTTTTAACAGAAACACTTTAAAAGTAAGCTACAGTTGCATGAACAACGTTAAGTCGATAATCACCAAACACAACGCACATATAATTAGGAACAGTCAATCACAGAATACGGAAACTGACAACTGTAACTGCGACAACAAAAACACTTGACCACTACCGAAACAATGCATGACCAACAACATTATTTACAAAGCAACAGTCACAACGAACAACACGAACGACACTAAACACTACATTGGTATGACAGCGACTACATTTAAGGAACGTTACGCTAACTACACTTCATCTTTTCGTCATAAAAAAGACTCAAACAAAACGTAACTTTCGAAACATATTTGGAAATTAAAAGAAAACAATCAGGATTATACCATCAAATGGTCAATTTTAAAACACGCTATTTCGTACACAGGGGGATCAAAACGCTGTAATTTATGTTTGGAAGAAAAATTTTGCATTTTGAAAGACATAAACAAAGACAATTTACTCAATAAAAGAAGCGAAATTTTCGGCAAATGTCGTCACAAAAACCGGTTTCGAGTAAACAAGGTCGTTAACAAAACCTAATGACCCAAGCATGCATTGTTTCACCTAAGCATTGTTTCGCCTACACGCATTCCGCACATTCTTTCGATAGCATAAAAGCAACCTACAATTTCGAAATTATTCACCACCTGATGATTCCTATACGGATGAAACAGACTGTTGTGGATTTTTGAGGTAAAACGAAAAACTATATTACGCTCTATCTATATGGTATTGAGCACTGTTTGTGTTTCGTAAACCAAAATCTTAAGCTATAATATATATATATATATATATATATATATATATAGTCAAAAGACAAATATCGTTTATGGAGTGTCTAGGTGCTACTGAAGTTTATATTTCAATGGAGATTCTTCTTAACTTCTTTCTCGCATAGAAAACGCTCTGATTGTTGCTTTACTATCATATTCTGTTTAGCACAAGTTGTTCATTTTTTGCCTTTAGCAATAAATCTAAACTTACCGCATTTCACCCAAACTAAGAAGAAATCCTCAGTCTTATTCAGCAATTCCCAACTTTCATGCTGACAGTCAATCAATCTTTCTTCTTTGCCAGTACATTTCATGGCTTGATTTTCGATCACATTCCCCGCTACTTCAGTAAGATTATATTTCAGGTGGTAGTTGAATGGTCTTATAAAGCCGAGCTCTCTGCAAGTTACCCATGTTTTCTTAACGTTAATATCTTTCTGCTCCCAGAATCGCCATTTTCCATCGTAAAGCACCTGAACACTGCCTTCGGTAGCATTGGTTGGTAACCCAGTGTAAGGATCCACCATACGTATGGAAAATCCTAACGAAATTGATATTAAAGTAATTTTAATTAAATAGATATAGGGAATTCATCTATGGCTGTTGTCTGAAGGTCAAAATGCACAACTGCAAAGCTTAGGCCACTAAGCACGTTTATTATTATATGAGATAGTTTATGCATGCATGTTAACAATGTAGTAAATATGTTTTGCTATTATAATATTGCTGGGTTTGCTCAGTAGTGCCGGCATGATTTTATTTTGGGGTGTTTGAATTAGTTTTATTAGGACTAAAATTTCATAAACTTCTAATTTGTAGGTTTTACACAATTTTAGGTAGAAATGCCTAAACTTGGTGGACGTGATAATTCTCCATGCATGTTCACATTATAGTTTTCCAATGCGCCATGCAGTTTTATTTTATATGACAAAAATTATATTTCGAAGTGAGTTGCCGATAATAGTCTAGGACCTGTATAGGAGCTAAAGTTTCCATGTGTTTCATTTAGCACAGGTAATCTCAACTGTTTTAGAGTAAAATGACCATGACGGTCAACATGCCATATGTGCCAAAACCTGAATCCGGGACGAAAGTCCTGAAAGTGACCCCGCCCTGAAATGGCAGTGCCGACATAGCTCTAATTTCCGAAAAGCAAAAGTGACAGCCTTTCTGAAGTGCTTATATTGTTCAGAAGGGTTGCTTTTAGGGCCGGCTATTGGAAGGAAAAACGTGTCTAAGTATAATATTTTACAAGAAAATGAGCATGCGCCACCTCAGGTAAACTGCTAATTATGCATAAAATAACTAATATACCTGGCGAAATTAAATTTCCTTATTTCCTAAAATAAATTATCATGCGGTGAAAAGCTATGCTTAATTTAATATAATTATTGTAGATTTCATAAGGATTGTCATTGTTTTCTATAAATATAATACATTTTATTTCTCTAACGGCTTAGATTCCCCACGAATCGAAAACACGATTTCAGCCATCTTTCCCGCCTTGTTTGCTTTTTATCGCCGAGTCTCGCAAATATCATCCAGTTGTTGTACTTTTACATAATAATAAATGGCTAAAGAAGATTTCAACCAAGTTTCGTCAAGTTTTGAAGCAGAGCAGTGTATTTCATCTTCGATATTGTGTCCTTTGATATTTCGTCAAATATGCCTCCATTGGCCCATTGCAATGCCTCGCCGTTTCTCTGCCGGATAATAATATTAACTTACTGACCGAGAGTGAGAGCAGTACTGACCGAGCGATAGCGAGGTCAATACAGCAAGAGCGAGGTTGGATATTTTCCCTTACTGCCTGAACGGTTGAGGTCGGTAAGTTTTTTATTATATGGCATTGTAGCTATGTTTGTAAAAATGGGAAAAAAGGTCACGCGAGGGCAAAGTTGTAAAAAATTGTAAAAAATGTTCTCTTTGTTAGTAAAACTACCCTATAGCACTTTTTATAGAATACTAACACAGTTTGGTTAGTATTTCAAGAAAAATACGAGGTATTTCGTTATTTAATCAAAGACAACAAATATGAAAACAATAAAATTAATAAACAGCATCGACAATACGTTTTTAGTTCATTTCATCTGATATATTTATGTCTCTTTTAACAAAAACAGAAATTTTCAGGGAAAAATTATCAATCTATGGCTACTTTAGTTGTATTTTTTATTTAGATGGTGTAACAAAAACGCGTTGAGAAAGTTCTTTAACAACAGCAGTTGCTCCTTTTCTCTATATTAGGTCTATTTTTCTTTGTTTTGAATAGTTTGAAAGACTTTTAGACACTTTTGCCGTTTGAAACTCGGCTCTCGTCGCAGCTTCGTGGTTCGTAGGGCAATAAAAATTGCGTATTACCCGTGAGAAAATTCTGCCTCGTCCGCAGCCAATCAAATTGCGCGATTCATCAAAACAAATGCTTGCCATATAATAAATGCAACTTCTTCGTCTTCATATGTATTTAGATTATAAGAGTACTTCTTTGTAGAATAGTTCCAATCGAAAAATTGAAAACATTAGTTGCTCTTAAAAGTTTTGAAAGGAAAAACCTCCTATAACACATGAAATAAATGAATCCAAAAGAAATAATTTGAAAGTCACGCGCAAGTTCGCGAATATTCCTCGTGCATGGGCTACATGACAGGGGAGTTGAATATTTTCACGGAACGTTTGCTCACCACTATATTTGTTGTATTTTTATGATTTATGATAAAAACAATGAATATTTGCGTATTTTTATCATCAATCATAAAAATTCAATAAATATAATATATTTATAGTTGGGTCGCTGTGGTGGTAGCCTGCGTGTCAGGCTCTATACTTGAAATATAGCCTGCTGCCGCTGTAGTCAATAAAAAGGGGACAGTGATTTGGATGCACGAAAATAACAACCATCAAAATGGCGATTGTTAGTTAGATTATCAAAGCTAATTTAATTAAAATATGACTATAACGGCCAATTATTCCGCCAATATCTGGAAAATAAATATTCCAATTTTCATTAAGCGGCCAGGAATTACATATTAAAATAATAATAACGGTTACTGATCGTGTTTATAGACAGCAAAGGCAGTAATAATTAACGTGGCCAAAAGCATAATTACAAGTACGGAATATCATATTACATAAACAACAACTTGATATTACCCTAAAAGGCAAGGCTATTTATTTCTGACCAATGGGAATTTTGCGTCAATTCGTACGCATACATCCCCTTTTTATTGAATTCAGTAGCAGGCTCTATTTCAAGCATAGAGCCTGACGGCTACTGTGGTAGCGAAGAAACGTTTCGTGAAAATATTCACCCCCTGTTATAATTGTGTAGTAACCAACGAGGAGTTTTCGCAAACTTGTGTGTGACTTTCTGATACTACATGTGTTATGGGAGGTTTTTTCCTTTCAAATGCAACTAATATTTTCAATTTTTTGATTGGGACTATTCTACAATGAAGTACTCTTGGATACTGTAATCTAAATATATGTGAAGACGAAGAAGTGGCATTAATCGGGCAGAGAAGCGGCGAGGCATTGCAATGGCGGCAATTTGACGAAATATCGAAGGACAAAATATCGAAGATAAAATACACTGCACTGTTTCAAAACTTGATGGAACTTGCATGTTTTTAAGAGCAGATCCCAGCAAATAACTTTAAAACCAAACATGGTAAAAGTAAAAAAATTATTAGCTAACATTTCATCTTGAAATCTTCTTTAAGCTACGTTTACACGCTGCGATTTGTCGGGCCGATTTTGGTAAATTATCGATGCCCCTTCTTCGACATTTAGCGATTTAAACGTTCAATTGAAGCTGTCCGCTCTCTCGTCTGTTCATATTATAGTTTTCTGCGTGCGAAAAGTTTTCAACAACTTTACAACGGAAGAAAAATCGTTGAATCGTGAGAAAAATCTGTGCTTTGTTACAGATTTTTCTCCCGATTTTGTGAATTGCAAGGTGCTGACGCGAGTACTCACGACAGGTTATTTACATACAGCGAGCAAAATCGGCCCGACAAATCGCAGCGTGTAAACGTACCTTTAGCCATTTATTATTATGTAAAAGTACAAAAACTGGATGATATTTGCGAGACTCGGTGATAAAAAACAAACAAGACGGCAAAATATGGCTGAAATCGTGTTTTCGTGGGGGTAAGTGAAATAAAATATGTGTTATATTTATAGAAAACAATGACAATCCTTATGAAATCTACAATAATTATATTAAATTAAGCATAGTTTTTCATCACATGATAATTTTTTTAGGAAGTAAGGAAATTTAATTTCTGACAGGTATAATAGTTATTTTATGCAAAATTAGCTATTGACTCGGGGTGGTGATGGTCATTTTCTTGTAAATATTGTATTTAGACGTCAAATTTTTCCTTCGAATAACCACCCCTAAAAGCAACCCTTCTAAACACTATAAGCACTTCAGAAAGGCTGTCGCTTTTGCTTTTCGGAAGCTAGAGCTATGTCGGCACTGCCGTTTCAGGGCGGGGTCTTTTTCAGAGCTTTCGTTTCGGATTGAGGTTTTGGCACATATGCCATGTTGACCGCCATGGTCATTTTATCCTAAAACAGTTGATGTTACCTATGCTAAATGAAACGCATACAAACTCCTGTACGGGTCCTAGACGATAAAGCATCATTTCACAAAGGAGTAGGGTGTATACTTTGGTATCGACTGCATCGTTTTTTTTCCGCAGCATTGTAACACGCTGAAAAAATTGTAGTATGCAAAATATCTTCGTGCAACTTTTCTCGTGTTACTATTGGGAGGGTCATGGAATTCCAATTCCATGTTCCACCTGAAATTTTGGCAAAATCCCAGTCCCAGTTCGATTTTTATTAGAAATCCCAGTCCGAGTTATTGAAATTCCAGTCAATAAAAAAACTTATTTGTCGGTAGAACAAACAGTTTTAAGACCTTTTAAGCCACTGTGTGTGCACACCGTGTGGCAGAAGCGGTTGTGCTTTGCCTTTGAGGTATACAGCTATTTAAATTAAGGTTGTCCACGAGCAAAGCGGAAAAGTCGAATACGAGCGCGAAAGGCTGCTGGGAACCGCTTTGAAAATTCATTAATTTGTTAGCGATCCCCAGCAGCCTTTCGCGTTCGTATTCGACTTTTCCGCTTTGCTCGTGGACAACCTTAATTGAAGTAGCTGTATACTAAGGGTTAAATGAAGTATATAGCGGAATATATTCCGCTGCGCATCTGTCTTGGGGACACGCATAATCGGAAAACCCAGAATTCTGGGCGCCAGAGTATGCCTGTTCGCAGGTAGTGCTGTGAATATTGTAGTTGACAACAAAATCATGACCAAAGACACCAAAAACGGATCAAAATTGTATTTTAAAATACTTAAAACGTGGAAAAATTGGGAATCGACTCGCATTACTTCAATCCCATTCCCGTTGTTGAGGACTTCATTTCCCATTCCCAGTGGCCAAATCCCAGTCCCAGCAACCCAAATTCCATATTCCCAGTCTAAAAATAGATCAATCCCAGTTCCCATTTTACCCCTT